CACACACACACACACATATATATATATATATATATATATATATATATATATAGCTTAAGAATTGTAGTTACTGTCTCACGCTGAGTTTTGATAATTTTTAATGATTACTAATTACATCATCTTGTATCAGATCTTTTATCAATCGCAATAAATTTTTATATGTTATGTAAAAATTTTGTTTAAAGCGTAACAAATTGCTTAATTAAAAAATTTATAAAATTCCAAAGTGCTATTGGTTTTAATAATAAGTAACAATAGCCAAGAGATTATGATTATAAATGAACACACATTTCAATTTAAGTATAAAAGTACTTCTTCAGTTAATGTTTAAAATATTATCTAGGGTGAGTTTGACATTCCTGTCACATTTCGCTTTCTATAATCATGCTAGATGTATCATAAGAGACAAAAGCCGATCTCTTCAACAGTCAAAGTAATCATTCACATCTGCTTTGCTTTCAATTCCCTAGGTGGATTGCTACGGGGATCCTGATCAATCAGGGAGGAGGAAACGAGAAATCCCCAAGTTCCTCCCCCACTATACCAATGAAATGTACGAGGTGGAGCTATCAGCTTTTCTTCGCATCAAGTCTAACGTTGAGGGGGATATCATCATAGAAGAAAGTAAGTACCTTGCTATCTTTCCCTCTTACACCCTTAGAGCATCGATCGCCTCATGGGAACACAGGACTTTTGTCTTTTCTTACCAGAGGTTAGTGGAAATATATCGAACGACTCCTGAAGTTGAGTAGGATGTATTCCTGCTCCAATACTTTCTGTACCAGAAGAACAGAATGTCAATCTCAAAGTCAAAATATTTTGAGATACTAAGAAATGAAAGAGCAAGTCTTGAAGTTGTTTCCTGATTAAAAGGGAAATCGTATTTCTCTTGACAATAGGTGTTAGGAGATGAATAAGTACTGTTGAAGTTTAATTTTTGAATTTAAATTTGATTTCTGAAATTAAACTGATTAAATTAAAGCTAATGAAAAGGTATTTAACAAGCTTATTATTATACCATTGTAAAATATTCTTGACAACTTTGGCTTAAAAATAATCAAGATCAATCTGTAGGCGTACAGTGTGTATGAAGGAAATTTCATGGTCATTTAAGTGATTGTAATTTTTAATATTTTTGCAAGAAAAAAACGTATTATTTTAGCACAATATTAGTTGTAATGAATTTAATACTTTAAAAGAATCAAATATTTCACAAAATCTCTCACTTTTGGAAATGTATTTTTGGGGCCTTTTCTAATATGCATCTATTTTTCCTTCGCTGTTTTAAAATGAGATTTAAAATATTTTGAACAAAGATCCTTTTTTTCAAAAAAAAAAAATATGTATATATATATATATATGTTGGCTAAATTACTATTCCCTTTTCAAATGCCGATATATTCAAAACTATATTCAAACAACTAAATATCAAACTTAGTACAATGTTTATTAGAATTCTGAATTGAATTTTGGAATTTTTAAAAGCTCTTAAAGCTTCAACATTTGGCTTTAATGTAGCATTCCTTTTAATGTGACATTTCTCACAGGTTTGGTCTATAATTTCCTAATCTGATTAGTCTAGACATCTCTGTGTCGAATTTCTTCAAACTTAAAATAGTGGGTGACTAAAATTGTTCCACTTAATCCACATTATTCTAACTTCTGATGTCAAGTGTCGTTTCAAATTTTGTGACATTTTTAATAAGCTTGAAAAGGAAACGCTTCTGTTGGAAATTCGAAGGCATTAAAAAAACATTGCGATTAAGGGGATAAGTTCACTTGGTTAATTTCTAAGGTAAAGTTGCAAATTAAACAAAGCTTTCAATAAAAGAAGTTGTATAGCCATTAACACTTTTTGAGTAATTTTCTTTATTTCATAAAAAGAGCGACAAAGCGGTATCTCTAACTAGTAAAAAAAATATCTAAAAATCTCGAAAAATGGTTTCAAAGTCATCCAGTTATCTCAAATGCGGTTTCTTTCTTTTCGTCAGTCATTGCAGAATCCCATTTTATATCCATCTGCATTATCCATGGTAGACTGATCAACCATGTGCAATTTTTTCAGATGCAGAAAAGCTGGAAGAAAGGAAAAAAAGGTTCTTATAACTTCTACAGTGTACTGTGTATAGTTTAAGTGCTGCAAATTTATTTTTGATACTCTGGTTAAGTTCGAATGATAGGAAATTAGTTCAATTCAGTAAGGAATTACCTATATATTTTTTTTATTTAACTATCTAGAGACGCAATTTAAATCAGCCTAAGGTACTTCAAGGTACTTTAGATTTTAAATAAATATTTGGAAGGTACTAATCTACTCTTTTTCAATTCATTTTTAGATGGCTCACTAACCGTTTAAAACTAAAAATTAAAAATATAATTATTTAAAAAAAATATTAATTCTTTATTGCGCTTTTCGTTGAACTGTTAATAAAAAATGATTCAAGTTAATGTAATTTTCCGAGGAAGAGGAAAAAGAATTTGTCCTTAAACATTAGTTTGAAGTAGATTTTTCGAATCCAAATCATAATTGCTATCAAATTTATCCAATAGAAAACACAACTTAGTAATTAATAAAAGGGTAGAAATGCTTTTGAGTACCTGCTAAAACCGGTGTGGTTATTTGAAGGCAAACTTTAGCAGTTATCATGAATTGGACAATCAAAAATACAGGATGAAGAGATTTTTTAAAACTTACCACTCCCTTTCTGAATTCCTAGACATTTTGAAAACACTTACCTAAATGTCACAAGAATACCTAAACTGCATTTTTCCCTATTTAAATTCGCTGTTTCATGCATGAACATCAGTAAAAATTATCTAGAAGAAAAACAAATTCCTTATTAACCTATTTTTTGTTCCCTAGAAAATATACGTTGAGAACCATTAAGTTTTCTTTCTTCCTTTTTCATTTTAAAAACATTTATTTTCTGAAAAATGCTATCATTTCTCGAAAGTAGACTGAGTTTTCAATTGAAAATACCCAATAACTATTTAGCGTATAACTTATGAGATGTAAAAGCAATCTAGATCTTAAAAGTTACACTGAGTGGCCAAATTATTATGACTACCTGACAGTTTTATGCAAAATTAGCTATTGTGTCACAATAGCTGATGCAAAATGAGCTATTGTGTTACAAGGCCAGTGAACCATCAACTGCACTGTGTTAATCGTGGAGATATTGACAAAAACAGGATTTAACTGAGTTTGCGGTTCGGACTACCAAGCAGAAAACTGGGTCTCAACGTCTGGCTTGTGGTCGTCACCGGCTACTGAATGCTCGAGCTGAAAGGAGACATGCTACAGTTGTTCAGTCCTACAGAAGAGCAAGAGTACAGTCCGCAAAAAAAAAAGATATCACCCTGAATAACTTTCGTTCTAATGATCGGATTTTCACGAAATAAAAGTCAATCTTAATGGTTCCCGGGGGTGACCTCAAATATGCTAATTAATTAGTGCTAACTATTAATTAAGTTACAAAATCAGACACAAAAACGTACTTTCTCTGATAAAACATATATTGTTTTTACATATTTGGAATCTAGACACTTGAATTAGGGGGGGTAGACAAAATTTTGAAAAAATTGGGTTGTAAATTGGGTAGCAATAAAGGTTTATATATTTGGCGATAGTCCAGAAAACCGCCAAAAAAAGTCGCCAGCGCAAATGAATATTTTAAGATAACCCATTGACTAATTCAAAAGCTTAATGCTTAATTTAACTAGGTTGCTAGGCAACCTAGTAAAAAAACTCTGAATGTAAAAAAAATGAAATAATGTTCTGTGATTGCTGGGAAAGTTTTAATTAATTGTTAATAGAAATTGTTAATAAGTTTCAAGGCAATAGACAATTTTTAAGCTGATTTCTGTCCAATAAGCAAAAAAAAGTTTTTAAATCTCCTTTGAAAAGAAAATTTGAATTGATTTATAAATTATTTATGATTTTTTAAGTTTTTAGAATTTAAATACCTGAACTTTTTATCTGATATTATTTAGATATGTTGTTTTTGCTATATTTATTCGAGGATTTCTTACTAAAATCAAATTGACATAACTTATTATAGCTATATACAAAATTTTAGGGATAATCATTTTTACAGATTTAATCGAGTCTTCTAGGCAAGAAAGTTTGAAGAAACAAAAAGTGCTTGAAAAATAAAATGTAGATTGTATAGTAATTCTAATACACATT